AAGAGTAAACAAAGATATTATATTAATTTGTCACGAGTTAATATTTAATTATTTTCAGTGAATATTCGCAATAATGATTTTTCTTCGCTTATTGTAAAGAATATAATTACAATGAAATTTTTTTAAATACAATAAAGCTGATTACTCATGAACTATTGTGTATGACGTACTAGATCAGTGTTTATGGGAATGTGAATTTTATCACGTGCATAAAAATACTTACGATATCACTGCCCAAATCCCATTTCTTGTAACGATAACCAACGCTAGCTACTTCAACGTCTTCATCTTCAGAAATGAAAGGATTTGCTTCCTTAAATCTATATTTTGGCTCCTTTTCACCGGTTTTTAAAACTTGTTGACTGAAGTTATGATTAATGAAGGTTGCTTCAATGGCTAAATTACGTGGAGAATTTGGCGAGTTATCATCATCAGTTGGTGGTTCGACAGAAGTTTCATTTACTGTAAGCAAATCGAATTCCGTGTTGTCACGTTTATCCATAAAGATCTTGTCATCTGTAAATTAATAAAATATTAAAATTTTTTATTTGTATAAATATATACACTTTATAAGTATATACATATATATGTATTCCATCAGTATATAAATATATATATTAAATAGATTTATAAATATATATATTAAATAGATATTTATAGATAGATGCATTTAAAATAAGAAGCTAAACGTTTCTATTTCGTTTACATAAAGCCTTTAATATTTATTAAAATACTAAATGTATCTAAATTTGAAAATGATAAAAATACTTTTAATTAAAGTAACACAATCTTAAAAGACTGGTCGTCTAATAGTTTTCTAAAAGTGAGTTCAAATAATATTTATAAAATATATACTCCTACCTATTTAAATTAAATAAAGGAATTTAAAGTATAACGCAATATAGACTGCATTCATAAAAAAAAGATTATATTTTCTAAAACTATATTTTATTATCACTTACTGAACTTCTCAATGACTATATCCCATGAATAATTGGAACGTGTCGAGCACATAATGGTCGCCAAAATAGCATCTGTAGCAAAAACATTGCCCACAGTCTTCGATAAGCGACGTATAACAGGATCATCAGTAGTGGTAACAGTATGCACGATACGATCGATTTTTTGCAATGGTTTTTCATTCTTCACATTAATACGATCATAAGTTTTATCATAGTATTCAAGTGTACCACAAGTAACAATATCTTCACCATCTTTAATATTCGGTAAAGACAATTTCATTAAACGTGGAAAGTCCATTTCCTCAACCGATGTCCAATCCGCACGCACTGCCACAGATGATTCACGTATTTTAGGTGGTACACCACGTGAACCAAATTTCTTACCCATACCACGACGAGTATCGCGTGCTTTAAGATTTTTGCCTCCTAAAGTTGTCATTGTAGAGCTAAGACCACCACGGGTGTTGCGACCACGTGCATTCCTAAATCACATTGTATTCTGTGTTAATACACATATTAATAGAGATGATGTATAGACTTACCTAGAATTACGCAAATTGGTGCGGAACCTGCCACGTTGATGTGGTGGTTTCTGTACGCGTGTAGTGTCTACCAAATGGAATGTTGTTTCATCTTCTTCATGGTAGTAAGCATATTGGCTACCAGTGCCAAATGTGGAAGCATACTTATCTAAAATATTTAAAAAACATATGTATTTTATAAAATACCAGTTTTTCAATTTTTTAATTTAGTTTTTTACTGAAATTTTGCTAAATATGCTTGAACAAAAATGTAAACAAACGCTTTTGACATTTTATTTCGCACTTTTGTTGACAACCAATCCGCGAATCATAAAACTATTAAATAATTTCCCAAAGGTATTTTTTTTTTGATTGCCACGATTATTTATAGTTGTCAATTGCAACATAACCTTACTATTTTTACAAATGCAATTGCTTAATATAAACATATTTAGTTATTTTATTTAATTTTTCATATTTTTTACTTACTTTGATACTTCTTGTCATTGTTGGAACTACTGGTCCAATCACATATTTTGCCCAAGCGATCGCTTTTGCTGAAGGGCTGGTACGGCATATCTTTGAAAGTGTCCGGCAGTTCGCATGGGCCCCAGCCATGCTCATTAAATTGCACAGTTGGCTTTTCAAAGTGCGGAAAAGTACTACTTTCAGTCATGGCTAACGAAACGAACGAATTGATGAATATTAATGCACAAGTTTTTTACTTTTTATATTAAAATAATTAATAATTTTTTCCGTTCTCAACTGACGTGACGATTTGGAAAACGAATGCAAGTAAAAGGAATGCCAGAAGGTAAATTACTAGAGTTGTCAAGGTACGGTTTTGTAATGGAAATTTTTTTATGCACTCATAAGTGTTGGTAAGTGCGTTATAAATATATTAGGATTATTATATATAATTAATATTTTTATAATACAAAAAAATATTTGTTGAAGTTATATATATATATATATACCAAATATATAAATAAACAGAGCTGAAAGTCGAAATAAACAAAATTACATGTAGAAAGGCGACAACAGCTGACTTGACTGTTCGAATTCAAAATTCAGCAAAAACTTAAACATTTTAGCTATTTAGCACAAATTTAGCATATCAAAATAATAATGCTATTATATTTCTGTAACTTAATTATCGAACGTGTCTCAGCGGTTTTTGTGAAAAAATAATTTGAGTATTTACAGTTAAACCTCAATAAAAAATAAAAATAAAAAAGTACCAATGGTTGAATTCGTACCCTGCCGTACCTTAAAGCGCAGAGTCAGCGTTGATTAGCCAACTAACCCAAAGCCATTGACTCGTATGTTCGAATTTAAAATTTTTTTAATTTCCTGTGCAAGTTCATTAACATATGCACTTGTTATGTTATATTAGAACGAAATCATAAACTTATATTTTTTATTTGTGAAATTTCTATGCCATTCTTTTAAGTGATACTATAGTATAGTAGTATATAGGCGGTGTGCGAGTTCGAGTAAATTGATGGTTAATTGAGGAAAATAGTAAATTATGTCGGTATGGCAGCGAATGTTGGTATTTACCTGAATTTCGTGTAGGGTAATTAGATAAAAATTAGGTAAATTAGGTGTTGCCATTGTGGAAATTTTATAAGATGTTTAATAACTAAATAAATAAATTTGCAAAATTTTAACCAAAGTAATAATTAAGTGCAATAAGTAAATAAATAAATATTTACATATTTACTCGAACTCGCACACGGTCATAGTAAAAGTAATTTAAATGAGTTTATTATTAAAAACTGTTATTAATTTATAATGCAATTGTAAATCGAAAAATAATGGTTTTGTACAAAATGATACTTATGATTTAATATATACGGTACATCTAAATAAATGTACATTTAATGATTAATGAAGCAGTTCGTGAATATAAAACCACTGTGAATCCGTTTTCTATTTCCAGCGTTTTCAAAATTAAATCATCAATTATGTTAGCGTCAAAAGGTGGTTGCAAATGATCTTGCACAGCTTAATGCCAGGGTAGAAACGGTTATCAACAATAAAATCAAAATGGCGATCAGCATTGCTGGAACGTATCGAGTTCTGTATAATTTATTGAATAACAGAAATTATGAAAATTTAGATTGGGTAAATGTTCTGAAAAAAGCAGCAGATTTTTAAGCAATAGGTATTCAAAAACTTTTGGCACGGAATGCCAACTACCCAAATAATTTTCTAGGAGATTTTATTTTATTTTATAAACTACAATTTTTAATATTTAAATAATAATATTAAAATATTGGTATTAATTATGATGTTAAAATATTAATGTTAAGAGTGACATATAATAGTAAAATATTTACAATAATTTTCGTTTCTCCACTCAAATACAATACAATATTAATTATATTAATGATTTCCGGTAATCCTTATATTAGCTTCCACTCTTTCGATTGCTTCTGCTATCCGTTGCAAAGAATCGGCATTTCTTCTCATTATTTTCAGAAATGCTGAGTCTGTTTCCTGCTGTAACTCCATTTGCACCTTTTCCATATTATTCA